CGATGCGAGGCTTGGATCCACAAAATATTTACCAGCTATTTTAGGCCCAGCAGATAAAAATAGGGAGCGGCGAGTCTTTGGGAACCAGTGGTTCTTCCAAAATACGCAACGTGCCAAGGTTTCCAGCTAAAATGTAAGCAGAGCCATATTTGGGAAAGGGAGATAAGTGAATCCCTTGGAACGGGTCTACCCGCCTGCAGCAAGCCCGGTAGCTGCGATGGGTGGTGAGGATGGGCTCAGCTGGGAGACCTCCCAGCTCCCGGCCAGGCTCCTCCAGCCGGGAAGGGCTACAGCACAGCCCAGCGAAGGATTTTGCTACCGCCCTGGCTCTTGCACCTGCATCCTCCTTGCATTTGCCACGTGGAGCCCATCAGGGCAGGGTTAAGCTGCAAAACCGCTCCTTTGGGAAGCGCCGACCCCAGCCCCTGCAGAAGAACCTCTCCCACCTCAGCCCCTGGCGTCCCTAACCCTCGGCTGCGTCGTCCCGCAGGTCTCAGGTGTGTGATGGTGGCCTACAGTCAGTCTTGTGGGTATTAACGGAGTCTTCCAAGGCGGCTACTGGGTTGGCGTGCTCTCCGCAAAACCACAGTGTGCTGGTAAGGCTGCACGAGGGGGACACGGCCCCTTGGGCTTTGCTGCTTTGGGGAGGGGGTGGAGGGGTGAGGAAGCCGGCGGGAACGTCGGTGAGGGGCAGCAAGAGGGGCCACGTCTGCGGGACCGAGCCCCGCAGGGTGGCACGGCTGCTCCCGCTATGGCAGGGCCCAGCGCCTCCAGCGCCGATCCACGGCTCCGCCGTTCCCCGCCTTTATCGTTGTTATCTGGGGCGAGAGTTTCGAAGAGTTTCGACAGCCGAGGAATGCCTCTCTCGGCTTTGAATTACCCCCGTAATCTCATCTCGCTGCCGTCCGCCCCTTCCTGCCTTGGATCAACAGAGACCAAATTCCTCTTAAGTGCTAAATTCAGCTCAAACTTAACTCTCAGCTTCCCAGCTGGTACCTCCTCAGTTAAAACCCCAGGGGCTACGGCCAGCAGGAGAAGCAAACTGGGACCGCTGGGGTCTTTCCCCTCCGCCCAACTAACCCAAGGGTGCCAACAGCCCCGGCTTTCCCTGCAAACATTTCCCACCTTGCCCTTTCCTGGTTAATCAACTGTCCTTGGAGCGCGGTCCCGGCACAGGCTGCTCTCCCTTCCTCACCCCAGTTTCCAAAATAAGCCTCCCTCTCCCCAGGGCTGCGGCACAGGAGCT